AACGAAAATGAAACTACATTATTTCCTTAAAAAACCTGGAATTATTGGACCATCCTCTATATAGTCCCGAAGTCCTGACGATTTCTTTACCTTTCCGAAAATTAAAAACAGACTGCATGTTCAAAGGTTCCAGTCACCAGAAGAAGTAGTTGACGCATTGAAAAATGTCGTTTTGGATCTGCCAGCAAGCGAATGGAATAAATGCTTCGAAAATTGGTTCGAGCGCATGCAGATGTGTATTAATCTTCGTGCAGAATACTTCGACAAACAATAAAGTCATTTAAAACTAACTACCGTGTTGTTTTATTTCCATATGCAAAACTTAAACTGCATTGCATCTTCCTGAACTTCAATCTTCAAGTGAGTAATAACTTTGTTCACATATATAAACCAGGTACATGCACTATGTAATCAGTGAGTAATGAGGATTAAATGATTCGAAGATTTTGGTGTCCTAAGAACTTTCACAGCATTTACGGTTTGCACAATTTTTGGAAAAATTTACCTAGCATAAACATAATAAATTTCAATTCTTTTTCAAGGTATGGTTTCGGAAAATGTTCAGAGTAGTGCCGAAAGTCATGAAAGGAGTAGATAAATTCCTAATTATAAATTTACAAGGTACAGGGTGGTCCATAAGTCCTTTGAAATTTCATATTTGAATAAAATTTAACGGGTGAGCGTGAGCGGCGCGGGCGAGGTGGGGGCAGTATCTTCAGTGTCTGGGAATTCAGTCGCCATGGAGTGTTTCACTGGAGCGGATCGTGCTTTTTGTTTGCGCGCGTTTTGTCAAAATAATGATTCGGCAACCATTCCGCGGCGTAAATATCTAGAATACCACAATCACACAATTTTACAAAGTGTCCAACAGCTCAAACGATTAAGAACTGGGTTGCTAAGTTCGAAGAGATTGGTTCGACGTTAGATAAACAGCGGTGGGGTCGACCAAGCACAACTCGTATTGAAGAAAACATCAACATTGTGGCACAGTCTGTTCGTCAAAATCCTACCCAGTCTACTCGTAAGCGTTCCAGTGCACTAAACGTACCCAGAACATCTTTACAGCGGATTTTAAGGAAAGATTTACGTCTGCACGCTTACAAAATTCAGTTAGTGCAGGAATTAAAAGATAATGACGCTATTCAGAGACTAAACTTTGCGAATGAAATGTTGAATCGATTTTCTTCGCTCAATAATGTGTTGTTCTCGGACGAGGCTCACTTCCATTTAAACGGGCATGTAAATAAACAAAATTGCCGTTATTGGAGCCCCGAAAATCCAAGGCGTAAGCATCAGAAGCCCTTACACAGCCCTAAACTTACAGTTTGGGCTGCTATGTCAGCGCATGGCATCGTCGGCCCTTATTTTTTTGAGGACGACAGAGATCGCGCATTAACTGTTACTTCGGAGCGGTATGTAGCAATGATAGAAGAGTTTTTGACACCAGCGTTGCAGAATTTTCCAGGCTATAATACGCAGACCTGGTTTCAACAGGACGGAGCAACTGTCCACACCTCCAACACTTCTATGCCCGTCGTCTGTCAACTTTTTCCCAGCAAAGTAATTTCTCGAAGAGGAGACATTTCCTGGCCACCACGTAGTCCAGATTTGACCCCAATGGACTTCTTTTTATGGGGCTACCTCAAGAGTAAAGTGTATGACACCACTCCGCGATCAGTTGATGTCCTGAAAGAAAATATCCGAAGAGAAATGGCAAGCATTACAGTGTTGACTTGCCGCGCAGTCATCGACAATTTTAGACGTCGTTTATATGAGTGCCGTGATCGTAATGGATTGCATTTAGACGATGTGATTTTTAAAACATAATTCCCATTCAATAAAGATGATAACAAAATATAATAATTCTTCATAATGTAACTAGTTTGGTTTTATTCCTTTTTTTCCAGCTCAAAGGACTTATGGGCCACCCTGTACATCGGTGTTTTTAAGTATTGTATTAAGAAATTCACATTTTAAACATAAAATCAGGTTGAGCCTTATTTTACTTAAAATACCTTGTATACAATTTGAATATTTAGTTCAAATTTAGCTCCACAGTGTAAGAGAGAAGTCCAAAGATGGCGCTAGGTATGTTATATTTTTAAAGGGTTCTATAACAGTTTGTATAGGTTCTATAAAAAGTTCGGAGTATATCCCAGGGATGGCGCCACAAACTTAGTGACAAACGTTAGCATTATAGATTCCCTTATAGTGGCAGCGACTTCCTCTCTGAGAGATCTGGAGGTTATCAAAGGTTGGGAACGCAACAATCTTGTACAGATTAATGCAGTATTGTGCCTTGCCTAACAGAAAGCGTCCTAGCGCTAATCCGGTTTCGATGCATTTTCCGAGACGTTCATTTCGGCTTGTCGGAGTCCAGATCACCCCTGATTTGATCTGACACGAACACATCTCATCAATAGCGGTAGCTGCTGGGCAAAAGCTAGGTTATTTGCTTAGGGCTAAGAAGTACACACAAGGCCCAGATAAGACATAGTCTGGAGTACTGTTCACATATTTGGGGTGCTGCCGCCCCGACTAAATTATCCATGCTCCATGCTGATCAGAGGAGGGTTGTCAGACTGATCGATGACTCTTCTTTAACGGATGGTCTCGGGAGCCTTTCGCACGGGCCGTCGGTGACCTAGCTCTCTTCTACCGCTACGCCAACGGGCTTTATTCCTCAGAGCTCTCCTCCATAATGCCGGCGCGCGATGTGCCTGACAGACAAACTCGTTTAACTTTAGCCTCGCGTCCTGACCATTTCGGACTTCGTACATCCAGAACTGGCCGATACGACCGCTCCTTTGTCTCTAGGGTATCGAGATTGTGGAACCATCTACATAAGGAGGCTTTTCCCAGTTATACTAACCTTGGGCAGTTCAAAAATCGAATTTACAAAGTTTTTTCAAGCTCCTCATAGCAGCCGGGTGCCCTAGCATTTAGGCTTCTACCTGCGCGGCTGCTTCGGTGTAAAAAAATGTTTTTTCCAGCACTCAATGTACGTTTCAAGAGCTGTCATAATCCTTTACTAGATATTGATAACAACCAGATTTTCACGCCAACTCCAAAGAAATAAGACTACTATGTACATATATGCTCATTCCTGCTCATTTTTCCATGAAAAGCCAGTGCATTAATGGAGAAAACCACGTATTTTGTTGCCATTTTGTATAGACGGAATTACGAGCCCCTTCCCACTTCAGTAGGCCCACATCAAGATTTGTACCAAAATATGCCTTTATAAACTAAACATGACGAAACTATTTACTTCTAAAACAATTTATTTTCTCAAAAACATTTTAGATACACTCTAGTCGTAAACAATACATATTTGAAATCACTCAGACCTATAACTAATAGAACATCTGAACAAGTAAACAATGTGCGAATAAATGGGCGAAGTTAACAAAGCAACAATAAAGATTACCATTGGGTAACATCATCTTTATTTTTTATTACGGCTGAAATTCTTTGGGGCATAGTGTTAACCAAGTTTTGGCAAAAATTTGGTGTAAAACAATCCTATATTCCTTGAAGCTTTTGTCTCACTTCGGTGATTGTACGAGCAGGATGTTGTCGTAGATCCTTTTTCATCTCGTGCCACAAAGTTTCAATAGGTGGCAGATCTGGACTGCTAGAAATCCATTTCAAAAGTAGTACATTATTTTCTTCCATCCATTTTATAGCCCTTTTTGAGGTATGGCACGCTGCACCATCTTGCTAAAACACAAAAACTTGGCCGGATGTCAAACATTCTTCCATAACTGGTAAAAGCAATTCTTCTAAAATTGCCAAATATTTGTTTGTATCCACATTTCCATCAATAAAATGAAGTTTTCCTACTCCTTTTGATGACATACTGCCCCAGGCCATAATGGATGCTGGAAATTTCACTTTTCTCTTCAGACAGTCAACATGGAATGCTTCATTTTTTTGCGAATAACTCTACTGCGACTGTCACCAACACAAACTTCAAATCGGGCCTCATCACTCCAGTGTATTGCACACCATTGTTGAGGTATCCATTGTCTATGTTCTTTAGCCCATCTAAGCCGATTTTTCTTTTGCAGTGGAGTTAATAGTGGCTTTTCTTTGGTCTATAAGCAAGTTGTGCAACTTTAGGCGTTTTACTTCACTTTTTTTTATAAGAAAACTTACCTTGCAAGTGCTAAATCCCAGTTTGTGGGCCTCTCTATGAGTTGTGGACCTCGAAATTCTCCTTCCAACAGCGTCACTCCACAGAGCACTTAACTGTAAATAATTGGCACGCCTGTTTTTCACGATTATTCTTCTTAATGCTCTTCGGTCGGCATCTGTGATATTACTTTTTTTCACATATCGTGGCTTAATATTAACTGAACCAGTTACGTTATATCTTCTAACAATATTTCGCACACTGTATCGCGATAAGTCTAACAAAGTTGCAATTTCTGAGTTTGATTTCCCAGAATTAAAAAATTTAATTATCAGTAACCGAATTTTCTCACTAATAACCTTTCCTCTATCCATTTTGAAAACCTTAACTACCCAAAACTATTTTAAACGTATTCTGACAGCTGTGATTAATAAAAACAATTGTCATGGCTTTTATTTTTCACAGCCACGTATGCGTTATAGACTTATTTTGCATTGAAATGAAAATAGGTTGATATGCTGTAATTGCAACATGTGTTATTTTTATGCTGCAAATTTGATTAGGGAGTGATAAAGTTGGTGTTTTCTACTATATATTATTAAAATATTCATTGTTAATAGTTTAAACCTATAACACCCTATTATTTGTGTTTGATAAGAAAAAAACCTAAGATTTCAATAGTCAAGTGAAGTGGGAAGGGGCTCGTATACTGGAAGCGGCTTCGAAAGCGTTGGAGGTGTAGAGACAATCTACTTGACGCCAAATTTATACAAGAGTTAGTTGATTAGAATATTTTACTGGTTTTTCACGTATACAGCTTGACTGCAACTAATAAGGTTTTAACAACAGTTCTCATTTTCAGGGAATTGGAACTAGGATGCGTTCCAGTAGTATCAGCAGAAAGCGAAAATACCCTAGCCGTAACTAATTTAAAGGTGAGTCAATTCGTTTTGAGCTTCGATGGATTTGAGTTTTATTATAAGCATAAGAAGAAAAAGCAAGTCCATAACTACCAGTAACATGCAGGATGTTATTTAAGTACGTGGCAAGCTTCAGGTGATTCTTTGAGTAATTTTATGATGAAGAGTTTATATAAACATAGGTCCAGAAATGCTTCATTTTCAAGATATGCTTTTTAAAAAATAGGTTTTTCCTAAATATCTTGATAAACTTCCACTCGGTATTGAGAGCAGTAACGGGCTAATATAGTCCCAATTACATTGAAATGAATAAGTCCAGTGGCGTCCCGGAAAATACCCGAACCAATAGCTTTGACAAAAAATTTCTGCGCCACTGACTTTTTTCAATTTTTCTATTTGTTTCGAATTAAGCAGCTAAAAATACAACTTTTTTGCTTCCTGAGTTTTTTTCGGCGCAAACGAAGCGAGATAAAAGATAAAAAGCTCTTTATTGCATGTCCCAGGGACAATAACATAATAAAACATTGAAACTACCAAACTAATTAAGCAATTAACATTAGACGAAATTAATTTCTTAAGTTTTTCCGCACATATTTAGGACTAATTTCGATAAAACAAAATAATACAGGGTGCCTGATATGTAACTGACTGGTTTACATCTTGAATATTTGTGAAATGAAATAAAATACGTCCATTTTTTTAATCTTAATATTGAATTGAAACTTAGGAATTATGTATAAAAAATAATATCATACAAACATACGAATGAATGGCATTTTGCTCTGTTTATAAAAATTCTCAGAGATGCCTCGTAAGGTGACCTTCAATAATAATGTTCGGCCGTCTTTTTTTCGTTAACTGTTGACTTTAGGTATAGGACGTGATGCATGAAACATACGTAGAGTTCCACGCGAAATTCAAAAATGAAATAAAAAAAGGTGATTTCATTTGAAAAAATGAAGTTGATGGCCGTAATTTATTTTTGAGCAACCCTGTATATACAAACTTCACGTACAAAAATGCGCAACTTGAAATAAAAATCGAAGGGCCGAGCGTTTATTTTTCGAATACACCCCTGAATTTTAAATGAATTTAGACATAACTTTTGGGATGCACTGTATAATTCAGTCAAAATTTGAAGGAATGTTGATTTTTGAATAAAATTCATGTTTTAATTACTATTATTGATTTTTTATTCATGTTTATATTATTTTCTTCAATTGATATGCGATTTTACTGACTTAACATCACACCTACTTGATGAAAGACTACCAAAAATTTCATAGATATTGCTCGTTTCCAAACATTCATTCATTTATTCATCAGTACCATTATAGCACCGTCGATTGATATTCCCACAAAACCATTCAGGATTTTTGATATCCATGCATCGATAGTCAAATATTTTTAGGTTGTTCAGCAACTGAACAAACATCCACACTATATTTACAGCGATTAAGAAATACTCAAATATATGTCGTAAAGCTAGCGGCAAACTTAAAACCTGTAAAAACTAGAATTTGCAATATCTTTCTTGTTTCACTGAGAACACATTCTAGGTTATATTTATATTAAGAGGGATGTCTTTTAAGTTTTGCATATGGAAATAAAACAACACGGTAGGTAGTTTTAAACGACTTTATTGTTTTTCGAAGTATTCTCTACGAAGATTAACCCTGGAGCGCTTAGGCGAATAGCACGGCTATAGTTGCTTAGGCGGGGTTACCAATAACCCCAGTGATATATTCCTATTTAATGAACAAAATATAAAAGATATACACTTTTGTTTCAATAATAAAACATTTATTTCAAACACTAGGTACATATTTCAGCTCGATGATTACTGCAAACAGCCTTGAAACATTTCGCAAGGGCAGTTTTTGTTTTTCGGTCATTTGTTCTTGGACATAAAATGCAGCGAGTCTGTTTTAGCAATTTTGCTGGAGGTGGATCAACTTTTTCTTCTGTTTTCATATCTAGAATATTCATTATTGATTCTTTCAATTTTCGAGGTATTGGTTTTGTCAAACGTCTTTCCATATGAGGCCTGACCAGTTGTAGTCCAAGTTCAAATAGGTATTTTCGACGAACACTTTTTGTCTATCACGCTTAACAATTTGGAAAATAATGTTGGAGTTAATGCCTGCTTGATCCATTATACTATAAAAAAGCGTAATGGCCACCTGCGTGTTTTGCGGGATACCGAATATGTGTGCACCATCTGGTCAAAGGTATCGACACCTCCTTTGGTAGAATTGTAAAAACTTATTATCTCGGGTTTTTTATTTTCATCTATTGTACTACCAGAATGCATTGTCGATAAAAGTAGCACAGATTTAGACTTCTTGGGTGTGAAGGACACCAAGGTTTTTTGGTTGTCGAATCCAAATTGAGAAGACATAATTTCTTTTCGTTTGTTTGGGAGAAATGATGGAGGAATTTCCCTCTTGTTTTTTCTGAGAGTACCCACAATGGTCAAATTGTAGTCAACAAGCATTTTGTCAGCCAGTGGGATGGAAGTAAACCATCGTCAAATTGCGTCCGGTTCCGTGAATGGGTTCTGTCAGTTTTCTTTATCTGGCCTATTTTCTTTGCCGATATATGGAATAGCTGTAACCATATAATATGTGCGTGAATCACACATCGTTACAACTTTGATTCCATATTTGTCAGGTTTTGATGAAATATATACTCTAAAAGGGCAATTGCCTCGAAATCCCAATAACTGTTCGTCGATGGTACAATAACTGCGAGGAGTATAGTATTTTGTACAGTCAGATATAAACATTTCCCATATATTACGTACTGGAGAAAATTTATCTTCTCGGTCTCTCATGGTTTTGTCGTCAAATCTGAGGCAAGATATCAAAAATCTAAACCTTGTTTCACTCATTACGCATCGATACATTTCTGGTCCATGCTTTGACCACATTTCTGCTGTAGTTAGATGACTGTCTTTTCTACAACCTGTCATATAAAGCAGTCCTATCAAAGCCAAGATCTTTTCAACGTCTGTCTCGTTAACAAAGCCACAATTAGAAACATATTTCCCTCTTTGTCGTTCTATTTCCATATTTGTATGCACCACTATAATATCTATAACATTCGCGCTAAAAAATAACTTCCATGTCTCTAATTCCGTTGAAATATTTTTGGCCGCACCTTTTGGTCCTGGAATACATGAAACAATGTTTCGCTTAGGTGTTCGAGTACGACATGGAAGCTCAGTGCTCCAAATATGTCCATTTTTTCCTTTTATTACTTTGCCATGAAGTTGTTGTTCTGTCTCACTCTCTTCTTCACTATCACCCGTTGAGTAGGTGCTCTCCCTGTCTTATCTGAATCAGGTTCATTGTCGAGTTCTTCATTCCATCGTAACAGAGTTTCTTCAAATTTGGGATCATCTGGTCGGACAGCCATCTAAATAAATTACGTAATCTAGTATGTGGAATAAAATAAAAATACCAGTTTAAGCTTACCTGGGGTTACTCGTCACCCCAAACACAAAATATTATAGAAACTATTGCACTGAACAAAAAAGTGCGACCAACAACACACACACTTTTACCTCAAATGAACATAGCGGGATCTCCGATGTTACCAATTTATGCACAAAAAATTAGTGAACATTTGAATTTTCTTTGGGGTGATGCGAAACCCCACTAAGCATTACAGGGTTAATACACATCTGCAAGGGCTCGAACCAATTGTCGAAGCACTTATTCCACTCGTTCGCTGGCAGATCCAAAACGGCATTTTTGAATGCGTCAACTGCTTCTTCTGGTGACTGGAACCTTTGACCACGCAGTCTGTTTTTAATTTTCGGGACACTAAAGAAATCGTTAGGGCTTAGATCGGGACTATATGGAGGATGGTTCAATAATTCCACGTTATATATACAGGGTGACTTCGAAGTTGAGTCATTTATTTTAACAGTGAGTAGATCTGATCAAAAGAAATGTTTTTTTCCTTTACCATTTTCCTGGTAAAATTAAAGTAACAAAGTTATAGCCCTTTGGAAGTTTGAGTACCGCCCTGTCTCAATAACAATATTATGTGGTCGTGTTTGGCGACAATGGATATAATCCGCCGTATCGGTTCATCGCATCGGAAACAAAAAAGCGAAAGAATTTGGAACGATGTTTTTACAGATATCTCATTCATTTGTATACAGTTAGTGTCAGTGAATAGTTGTATGTGTTGCGTGGCTCAAACGAAATAAAAAATGGCACATGTTTATGCGGATCGGTTTCCCAATCGAGTGCAACCAACCCCTCGTGCCTTTGTTAATGTAGTACAACGGGCTTGTGAATCAGGTGACTTAAGACCTCACAGGGGACCTCACGATCAAATACAGGTCCGCACTGAAATACTTGTCGGGAGGATACTTTATAAAACAAGGTAAAATTTTTTTTTATTTTTACACACATATTTTGGTTTATCTTCCTTCTACAATCATTATCTGAAAATTAATGACTCAACTTCAAAGTCACCCTGTATATGGCGAGTTTCTGCAACCTAAGGTCGCTTGTCGCAACCCATACGCCATCGTATCCTATCGTTCCAGTCTCCTTCATGTAGTCCTCTACTTTCCATTGCGGTATGGATGTTTGAAATCCATTTCCTTCGTGGTCTTCCTCGTTTATTTCTTTGTGCTGGTGTCCATTTCCAAACCCTTAATGGTATCATTTCTTCGTTCATTCGTTGCAGGTGTCCATACCATTTTAACTGCCTCTCTGTTATATCGTCCATTATTGTATTTTCGACTTCCATTCTTTCTCTGATGGTCTCATTTCTAACATGGTCAAGTAAAGTTAAACCGGAACATCTTCTCCAGTACATCATTTCGGTTGAGAGAAGCTTTTGTAACATATTTTTATCTACAACCCACGCTTCTGACCCATACGTCAGTACTGGCTGAATCATAGCCTGATATATAATTTTTTTTGTTTTCTTTGTTAGGTTCTTGCTCCACAAGATCGGATGTAGTGCTTTAATCATATTTTTTCCTTTTC